TGAGCCAAGATTGCACCACTACACTCCAGCCTGAGTAGTAAGAGCAAAACTCTATTTAAAAACAAACAAACAAACAAACAAACAAAAAAAACCATCTATTTCCCAGTGTGTTGGTAGTAGGAGATGGGGCCTTTGGAAGGTGACTAGGTCATAAAGGTGGAAGGCTCCTGAGTGGGATTACTGCCTTAGGAAAGAGGGCACAGGGAACTTGTTTGCCCCTTCTGCCATGTGAGGAAGCAGCAAGAAGGTGCCACCTATGAACAGGAGTGCCCTCCCCAGACACAAAATCTGCTGGCACATTGATCTTGGACTTCCAGCCTCCAGAATTGTGAGCAATACAATTGTTGTTTATAGATTACCCAAATCTAAGGCATTTTGTTATAGCAGCCTAAACAAAGAGAACGCTAGTCCTCCTGCCAGCTCCAGCTATAATGAATATCCACTATTCTCCGAATTTCCTGTAGTCTTCCATTTGGCAACCTCTTACCCAGCTTGAGCACCCTTTCCTTTACAAGGCTTTCCTTGACCTCATCCTTGCCCTCCATCACTACAAGTAGTAAAGACTTGGTGCTCTCTGCACTGAGACACAATTCTTTACACATGTCCATCTGCTTTCTGGACTGCCCTTCCTAGACAGGAACCTTCTTTTCCCCAGCCCTGCATCCTACATACCCAATGAAGTAGCTGGCACATGGTAGGTACACCATTATTGTTTAAATTAATGACCTAAACAATCTGCCAATAATCTAAGCTTATTTCTCACTGCTGTAAACATAAACGCTGGGTTCTACTGGCTACTTCCTAAACCTGCATAAGAATTCTAAACTTTTGTCCCAACCTGAAAACCTATCTCACTTCTTGATTTTTATCCATCTTAAATGCTACTTCAAAAAATCTTTCTTGACCTCCTTCTTCTTTGGACTTCAATAGCATGGGCCTTTAGATCCCCTATAACTCCTCCCGTAATCATGGACACATAAAAGGTGTATAATAAAAAATATTTTGTTTAGGCTAGGTGCAGTGGCTCATGTCTGTAATCCCAACATTTTGGGACGCCGAGGTGACAGGATTGTTTGAGGCTAGGAGCTTGAGAACAGCCTGGGCAACACAGCAAGCCCCTGTCTCTACCAAAAAAAAAAAAAAAAAAGTTTTGTTTAAATATGAATACAATTATGTGAAAAAATATTTGCATAAAAGTTGATTGAAAGCAAATTTATTGAAATGGAAATAGAGGTTCTGTTTGGGTTGCTGGGCCCTAGGAGGTTTGGATTTTCTTTTTTTTTTGAGATGGAGTTTCACTCTTGTTGCCCAGGCTGGTGTGCCATGGTACAATCCAACTCATTGCAACCTCTGCCTCCCAGGTTCAAGCAATTCTCCTGCCTCAGCCTCCCGAGTAGCTGGGATTACAGGCCTGTGCCACCACACCCGACTAATTTTGTATTTTAGTAGAGATGGGGTTTCTCCATGTTGGTCAGGCTGATCTCGAACTCCTGACCTCTGGTAATCCGCCCACCTTGGCCTCCCAAAGTGCTGGAATTACAGGCATGAGCCGCTGTGCCTGGCCCATTTTCTTTATTGAGTTTTTCATATTTCATTACAAAAGTATTGGAAAAATTATATACCCCTTTAATACCTTACGGTTTCCACCATATTGAACACTTGTTAAATGGAAAAACTTCACGGAGGCAGTGTAGTACAGTACAGGGCCCAGTTTCTGGAGTAACACCACTTAAGGTTAAAAAAAAAATCACAGTTTTGCCACTTGTTGGCTGTTTAATCTTTGAGCAAAGTCTAAATTTTTTGTTCCTCAGTTTCCTTACATATTTATCTCATAGGGTCATTGTGAAAATAAAAATAATCTATGTGAAGTACTTAGGTGAGAACTTGGTTTATACCAAACACTCAGATGAACATTAGCTACTGGCCGCAACAGTTGAAGCTGGAATGGTTGTCAAAATCTCTGCACTTGTAAACAAAAAGGGGATATTCAAAATTAAATGACAGTCACTGAGGTGACATATCTTAGTAAGTGGAACTTGTCAATTAAACAGCTTGGGATATGTCTGCACTGCATGCTATTCTAACTGCACCTAATTTGGCCCCAAATTTAATTACATGCATGTCTCTGTTTCACACATGAGCATGTTCTCAAAAGATATCTAACACAAACCAAGAGTTTCAAACCCCAAAGGGCTCAGTTCTGTTTCTCTAAATGTCTGGGCTTATTTTCTAAAATAGGTTTTTCAGGCCAAATGTTTCCCAGAAACCTACATGACAGGATGGAGACAGAGAATGAGAAGACTTGCAGTTATGCCTTGGCTGTATTACAAATTCAACCAGCTGCCTTTCAGTCAAATTTCAAGACATTTGTTCCCTGAAACACAGAATGGGAGGAATTGCTTACTTTCTTATTTCCAAGATAGTGTAAGAGGCATATACAACTCACAGATCTGAGGGAAGAATTCTATATGAAAGAAATCATAAAATATCTCTTTCCTCTTCCTGTCTGCTTTTTTCCCATTAACATATAATTCGTTCTTAATCAGATGAACTTTAACTTGATTGTAAATTAAATTAGACTATAAAAAAGGAATCAAAACAGTACCCATCATGATGTGGTTAATTTTATGTGTCAACTTGACTGGACCACAGGGTGCCCAAATACTTGGCCAGACATTATTTTGGGTATTTCTGTGAGGGTGTTTTGGACAAGATTTAAATTGGCAGACAGAGTAAAGCAGATTGCTCTTCTCAATGTAGGTGGGCCTCATCCAATCAGTTGAAGGCCTGAGTAGAACAAAATACTACCTTCCCCCAAGTAAAAGAGAATTCTCCTTCCTGACAGGCTTTGAACTGGATCATTGGCTCTTCCAGCCTGCTGGACATCAGCTCTACAGATTTGTTATTTTTTTTTGAGACAGTGTCTTACTTTGTCACCCAGGCTGGAGTGCAGTGGTATGATTTTGGCTCACTGCAACCTCCGCCTCCTGTTCAAGTGATTCTCCTGCCTCAGCCTCCCGAGTAGCTGGGACTACAGGTGCCCACCACCATGCCTGGCTAATTTTTGTATTTTCTAGTAGAGACGGGGTTTCATCATGTTGGCCAGGGTTATCTTGAACTCCCAACCTCAAAGGATCCGCTCACCTCAGTCTCCTAAAGTGTTGGGACTACAGGTGTGAGCCACTGCCCCTAGCCGATCTCTGCAGATTTTGGATTTGCCAGCCTCCATAACTGTGTAAGCCAACTCCTTGTAATAAACACACATAAATTTAGATATCTCTATCTCCCTATATGTTTATTTCTATATATCTTTTACTTACAATATTTACCAATCTCTCTTATTGGTTCTGTTTCCCTGGAGAACTCTAATATAGAACAATAAATACCATTATACCAAAACTGCAGCTAAAACTTCAGAGAATTCAGGTCATGCTGGAAAACTAAAGGCAGGCAGGGGTTTTTTAACAACAAAGGTCATATATTCTGACCATATCCTGAAGTCTCTGGTATTTATGGCAGAATTAAAAAAAAAAGGTAGAAATATGGCAAAACCCTGTCTCTACAAAAAATACAAAAATCAGCTGGGCGCAGGGGCATAAGCCTGCAGTCTTAGTTACTCATGAGGCCGAGGTGGGGAGGTTGGAGGATTGCTTGAGTCCAGGAGGTTGAGGCTGTAGCAAGCCGAGATTGCACCACTACACTCCAGCCGGGGTGAGAGTGAGACCCTATCTCAAAAAAAAAAAAAAAAAAAAGACATAATGCGAGGCTGGGTGTGCGATGGCTCGTCTCCTATAATCCCAGCACTGTGGGAGGCAGAAGCAGGCAGATCACCTGAGCTCAGGAGTTCAAGACCAGCCTGGGCAAAATGGTGAAACCCTGTCTTTACAAAAATACAAAAATTGGCCAGGTGTGGTGGCATGCATGTATAGTCCCAGCTACTCGAGGTTGAGGTGGGAGGATGGCTTGCATCCAGGAGGTCAAGGCTGCAGTAAGCTGAGATTGTGCCACTGCACTCCAGCTTCAGTGACAAGAGTGAGACCCTGTCTCAAAACAAACAAAAAAAGCCCAACTCTATATATATATGATATATAGATATCATATATATAATTATATGTAGAGTTCTTTCCAGAATACCTAATTTTCTAGTGACTTCCTGCGTATTCTAACCTGCAGCTTTGGGGGTTATTTGGCTTTAACAGATGAGTCACTTACACAGCTGAGGAAATCTTCCTATACACAGTGAACCAAGAAGGGTGGAGGGGAAAAGGGCATTGAGTTTTGTTTCCTTGAGCAATCTGGTTACTAGATTTTACAGAATTCTATGGAAATTTTTACATCCTCTAACCACGGCCTTAGCCACTGCCTACAAAAATATCAGGCTCAAGAAAGGCCTCACGTTAGATGAGATAGTATCCTGAGGACCGAAGAGAGACCACCTACAGAAAAAGTTAAATCTGGAGATAATAGGAAACAGTGAGGGACCCCAGATGGAGAAAGTGAATCAGGGAAACATCGTGGGGGTAATTCTGGCTCAATAGCAGTGATAAAGCAGCAAACCATTCTTTACTGCTAAAGGGCCTTCCCTGACCTACAATCTCCTCTGTCCCACTTATGTGGTCACTCAGCTAAGTGACCAAATTTCTTCTATTCAAAGAAGAAAGCCAGGGCAGACACTACCCCACAGCTGTGTTCTCAGCCCTCCCTTAGGGTTTCTGAGAACACTCTTGGGGAACTGTGTTTTCTTTTTGGCCAAAAGCCACCTGAGTGGTTGGAGAGGCATCTTGTCTCAAATATAGGTCTGTCTCTAGGGAGGGGCTACAATATCTATGTTCCAAACAATTTTGGACGCTACCCCTTTTGAATGCACCAAAGAGGTAGCATCCGAATGATAAGACCTAATTATTTTTAGTAGCATCACATTTCCATTCATGTAAATATTTTATTTTCCTAATCATAATTGCTTTTCTTTTATGGATAGGGGCATGAAGAAGAATTAGTTATATTTCAGTTCCTTCTTTAATTAGTTTCAGGCCTGTAATGTTCACCAGTTGGGAGAGAATATCCAGAAGGGCTGGCTGACTGGCCAGCCTCTAGCAATGCTTGAAAAGGCAGGTAAATCCTGAGTCAGCAAATGGGAAAAGAAAGCAAATTCAGTTTTTCAACAAGGTCACATTTCCAAGCAGTATTTGGCATGTTACATCAAGTACTGAATTGGTACCAGGCAGATGGATCTAAGCAATTGATATTAGTAAGTTAACAGGTAAACAGAATAATATTTACCTTCATTTTAAAAGAAGGTATTTAACCGCATTTCTCACTTGTAAGTGGGAGGTAAACATTGGACACACACATAAAGATGAGAACAACAGACACTGGGGACTCCCAAAAGTAGGGAGAGAGAACTCCCAAAAGAGTTGAAAAACTGCCTACTGGATGCTATGTTCACTACTTGGGAGACAGGCTAAGCAGAAACCCAAGCTTTAGCATCACACAATATATCCATGTAACAAACTTGCACACGTACCCCTTGAATCAAAAATTTAAAAAACGAAAAGGTATTTAACAAATAAACAGGTATTTAAAAAATAAAGTCTCCATTTCTGCAATCCTCTTGAGCTATCAGTATAAAACAGCACTTTGACAAACTCACATTAAAGGCCAATAACTACCATGAATACAAGACTTAGTTCTCATTTATTTGTGATTTTGCAGGTGTTCAAATCAATGAATGAAAATCAATGATTTCTTCATATCAATGAAATTTGCTACTCCACTATTATCTTCAGAATCATAGTAATCAAAATGCTACCTGAAAATGGTAATACAAAAGAGAACTATTAATACAAGGTTTCAGAAGACTGTGCAAGTTAAAATAATTGGCATTCAAAAAACACACCACAAACCACCAAAGGGTTTGGCCCTTTTTCTCTCTCTGATATGTGGCCTCTGATCTCTTAGGGCAGTGGTTTTCGACGTCCGTGTAGCAGAATCACCCGAAAAGCTAACAGAACATATAGAAACCCAGGATTTGTATTTAAATATAAATACAAAAGGCCTGGGTCTCTGTATCTTTACCAAGTTCTCCAGGAATGGTTTTCAAACAAGGCTAATCACAATCACCAGGGAAGCTCTGAAAACAACACATTCCTAGGCTTCATCCCTAGAAATTCTGATTCAGTAGGTTTGAGGTTGGGACCCAAAAATCTTTTTTTTTTTTTTTTTTTTTTTTTGAGATGGAGTTTCACTCTTGTTGCCCAGGCTGGAGTGTAATGGTGTAATCTCAGCTCACTGCAACCTCTACCTCCCGGGTTCAAGCAATTCTCCTGCCTCAGCCACCCAAGTAGCTGGGATTACAGGCGCCCGCCACCATGCCCAGCTAATTTTTTGCATTTTTAGTAGAGATGGGGTTTCAGTATGTTGGCCAGGTTGGTCTTGAACTCCTGACCTCAGGCAATCCGCCTGCCTCAGCCTCCCAAAGTGCTGAGATTACAGGCGTGAGCTGCCACATGTGGCTCAGGACCCAAAAATCTTAAAACATTTAAACAAATTTTAACAAACTTCCCAGGTATTCCTGATCAGCCAGACTTGGGAACCACTGCTTAGCACACTTATTTCAGGTCTATCAAAGAACTTTAGGCCTCTGAGTTTACCAAGAATATTGATAACTTTGGTTAGGTTATAAGCCACCATCCTAGAGAGAATTTAACAAATTAAACAGTCTAGTAGTGATTTGATACTAAAAAGCCCTGCCCAATTTAGTACTTAAATTACCTAATGATTTTCTGTCTATCCACTTTCCTCCCCCAGGCTAGGGCCTGCATGTAATATGTTTCCTATGACTAAGTGCCTATGTGCTCACAAACTTGCCCCAGTGGAGGCTGTTAACTTCTCCCTTTTCTTCTTCCATTTAGATTCCCAAAGCTGTGAGGAGCAGACCTATTTCGAAGCATCACAGCCAACTGATGTCACTTGCAGTATTATGCATTAAGACATCAACCCAGAAACCTGCAAATCAGAGACACTAGACAACCCTATCATGAGGATTAAGCTCTTTGTGGAAGAAAATGCTCTCATTGCATGAAATAGGTAGTTTAAAAATGACTTTTTTTTTTTTTTTTTGAGATGGAGTCTTGCTCTGTCACCCAGGCTGAAGTGCAGTGGCATGATCTCGGTTCACTGCAACCTCTGTCTCCCAGTCTCAAACGATTCTCCCACCTCAGTCTCCAGAGTAGCTACAGGGATTACAGACACGTGCCATCACGCCCAGCTAATTTTTGTACTTTTAGTAGAGATGGGGTTTTGCCATGCTGGCCAGGCTGGTCTCGAACTCCTGGCCTCAAGTGATCTGTCTGTCTTGGCCTCCCCAAATGCTAGGATTACAGGCATGAGCCACTATGTCCAGCCAAAAAACTTGACTATTCTTGATGCCAAGACAAGAGAAACTTAATTATGACTTTAGAAGTTTCAAAAATACAGTGACTTCTGGGTCACTTCTAATAGCCAAAAATCCATAGATGTCCAGACCCCCTCCTTCTGCATTCCAGAATCAGATGTTTACATTCCAAGACAGAAAGAATCTGAAACAATGGCCCACAAGAAATTTGGGGAATGACATTTGATCTCATTTTCCTCTCAATTGGAGGTCATGATATCAATGAATATCAAATGGAAAAATAAGCTCAAAAGTAGGTGAGAATCATCTCTAAAACGCAGGTGCTGATTTCTAATCCTTCTCACAAAATTCTGAATCACAAATCGAGGGCTGATGAGATGATCTTACACAGAAGGCACTAACTGGCACTAACATGAGCCAGCAACACGTCAAAGGCTAATCCAGGAGATGTAGAAATGCACACAGGTCCCAGGTGTCTTTTCTAAGTGACAATGGGCCTCCTTACTGGACAGTAGTCAGGAGACAATTATAATGTACTTAAAACTGTCAGGTGGAAAACCAAAGGGAAGAGACTTAAAAGACCTCCCAGAACTGGGATGGAAAACAAGCCAAACACTACTAGCAGCAGGACCAGCTGGAGGACTTGGTTTGTAGATTGATGTAGTCCCCTTGGGTGGACAAAGACATGATATCTTCTCTGGAATTTCTCATCATCTTTTCAATGAGGACTCTAAAAAACAAAAAATAAGCCTGAGAAGCTTATTTTGGAGGAAAAGCAGAAATGGCAGATGTAGTCTGGTTTATCATCAGAGACTATTTGGTAAAGCCAGAAGGTTTAAATGCCCCTTTGTCCCCAGTTATCTCAGGAGAGAAGACAGTATCCCTGACCTTTAGGGGCTGGCATTCCAGCGGCTCAGTCTGTCACTGTCGGCTCAGAAACAAGAAAAGAGGGTCCATGGGGCCACGGTGGAAGATGGATACCTCTGCATGCCTATCAGCATAAGCTACTTACCTCATAGCCTCATTAATATTTTTGTTCTCCTTGACTGATGTTTCTGTCCAACCTGTGAAACCATTCTCTTTACTGAAACGGTCAATCTGGTCCCGGCTCACTGCCCAAGGGGATAGATCACACTGGCAAAGAGAAAAAAATAAAAGGCAATATCATAAACTTCCTGGGAATAAGAATATGGCTCAGATACTGAGGATTTTAATATTTTTCCACCAATGGATAAGAACACCAGCATCAGAAATCTACAGTCGACATTCTTCCCAAAGAAAGTCTCACCCTTGGCCGGGCGCAGTGGCTCACGCCTGTAATCCCAGCACTTTGGGAGGCTGAGGCGGGCAGATCACGAGGTCAGGAGATTGAGACCATCCTGGCTACCACGATGAAATCCCGTCTCTACTAAAAATACAAAAAATTAGCCAGGTGTGGTGGCGGGCACCTGTAGTCCCAGCTACTCGGGTGGCTGAGGCAGGAGAATGGCGTGAACCGGGAGGCGGAGCTCACAGTGAGCCGAGATCACACCACTGCACTCCAGCCTGGGCAACAGAGTGAGACTCTGTCTCGGGAAAAAAAAAAAAAAAAAAAAAAAAGAAAGTCTCACCCTCAACATCCTTTGAAAGGAGGTAGAGATGATTCTGTCAACTTAAGAAGGGGAAATTGATGCCCAGAATCAGAGACTACTTCCTTTCTAACCACAGACAGAGGCTAGGGATAATTTTCTTTCTTTTTTCTTTTTTTTTGAGACAGAGTCTCGCACTGTCACCCAGGCTGGAGTGCAGTGGCATGATCTCGGCTCAGTGCAAGCTCCGCCTCCCAGTTTCACGCCATTCTCCTGCCTCAACCTCCCGAGTAGCTGGGACTACAGGTGCCCGCCACAACGCCCAGCTAAATTTTTGTATTTTTAGTAGAGATGGGGTTTCACCATGTTAGCCAGGATGGTCTCAATCTCCTGACCTTGCGATCCACCCACCTCGGCCTCCCAAAGTGCTGGGATTACAGGTGTGAGCCATGGCGCCCGGCAGGCTAGGGACCATTTTCTGAGATTGGCCACATACCTTGTTGGCCAAGAGCAGGCAGGGCACCAGCTCTCCATTGGGTAGTGTGAGCTTGCTGTCTAGGTCCTGTTTCCACCTCTGGCTGTTGCTGAAGGTAGTGGCATTGGTAACGTCAAACATAATAACACAGGCAGAGGCATCCCGATAATACAGTCGTGTCATAGAGGTGAAGCGCTCCTGCCCTGGGGAGAAAAGGGAGAGTTCTCAAGAAGGTGACCCAAGAGCCAGCCGCCACATCCTCTCTAACACCTCAGCCTCTCCCCATTCCTTGTGGAGGGGGGCAGTAAGCATATGTGGCAGAGGGAGTCACTCACTTTCCCCCTCTGACTCTTGGTTTTCTATCTATCCCGTAAAGGGATAATGAAGCCTGATCATTTCCAAGGCAGATTCCGCACCCCGATTGCTCCAGTCCATATCCCTGCTCTGCTGCATACTATTTGACTTCGGGCAAATTAAGCTCTCAGTGCTTCAGATTTCTCATTTCTAAAGTAAAGATAAAAGCAGTAACTTTTTTTTTTTTTTTTTTTTTTTTTTTAAGAGTTTCACTCCTGTTGCCCAGACTGGAGTGCAATGGTGCCATCTAGGCTCACTGCAACCTTCGCCTCCCAGGTTCAAGTGAAATCTCCAAAAGCAGTAGCTTTTATGATAGGGTTGGTGTGAGGATTAACGAGTCAGTGAATTTAAAATGCTTAGAAGAATGCTTGGCACATAATAAGGATTCACTATTTTTACTGTATCTATTTTCTGGGGATCTTGTTTTTCACCAAGGTCAGTCTTAAACCTAGAAAAAGTACCCTCCCCTGCTGTGGGAGTATGCACTATAGTCTGGACAATCCACCACCTTGCCAGCCCCTCCATCCACATAGAGACTGCTCTAGATCTATTCAGGGCAAAACATCTACAAAAGCTCTGCACCTATTCAGCTCGTGTGTCCTCAGAGCAGCTCAATCATTCCAGGTTCAGAAAAACAATTTCTGGCTTTGCTGCCCCATTTTTTTTTTTTCTCAGAGTTTCCTGGTTAAATCAAAATTTCTTCCCTCGTTCCTATCCAGCCCTCCCACTTTACCTGCAATATCCCACAGCTGAAGTCGCACTATCTCGGAGTCAGACCACTGGAGAACCTTCAGAGCAAAATCCACTGAAAATATATGTACATTATACCTTAATAAAATTTCACTGTAAAAAATGAATAGGGATAAACTCAAATCAAATAGGCAGTGACAACCCGATGGGCACACAACTCGAATCCCATGTTTATCTTTAAGCCCTCAATTCACTGAGATGAGTCCACACGTGTGTATTAAGTGTGAGATGGATGGTTCATACTCACTCTCCAAAGGGGTTTCCAGCTTTTACTCTCCTGTCAAGCTTATCTGTTTGCTACTACTTGTCTCCAAGACTGGGGGTAGGAGTAACTATGAAAACAACTCTCATTCTCAGGTTAAACAGTTTCTGGGAGATTTAGGGGGTTTTCTCAGGGGAGGGGTGATGGGAGAGAAGGGGGAAATGAGACAAGTGTGGTTGTTTTTGTATCTTCCACATTCAATTTCACTGCTGGTTTCTAATCAAATTGTATTATGAAAATAACACACCCTGGGGAACTCTACATCCACCATAAGGTTGCAGGTATTATCTTGGGCAAGAATGGAATAAACGGAAAAGGTCCCAAGGGAGTCCCAAGAAGACACTGTGTGGATGTTGCTGAAGAGTCCTGCTGGAATCTACCACAAAGTCTGCAGATGCTGAGACTCCTTAAGGCTAAGTATTCCATGGGGAAAAGCTTTTGGCTAAGGAGAGAAACACAGTAATTTCTGAGGTTTGGAAATATTATCTTTCACATCTGTAACAGGAATCAAAACTAAGGGAAATTTAGACTAAACACTGAAAAAAAAATTAGCCAGAGTCAATTGTATTCTTTGCTAAAGGAAAACTACAGCAATTGTTAAAAATTAACTATTAATAGAAGGCCAATTTTAACCCAAATCCGTGAAATAGGGACCCTTATATTATTTAGGAGTGGAAGGGCAGAGAGGTCAGGATAGTGTGTCTGAAACATTGAACCTTTAATTTTGCCACACTTAAATGTTTTGTTCCTTTGTTTTTGAGACAGGGTCTCACTCTGTTGCCCAGGCTACAGTGCAGTGAGTGGTGCGAACGGGGCTTACTGAAGCTTTGACCTCCTGAGTTCAAGCAATCCTCTAGTCTGAGTTTCCGGAGTAGCTGGAACCACGGCTACTTTTTTCTTTAATTTTTGTAGAGATGGGGTCTTGCCATGTTTCCAGTGGCTGCTCTCGAACTCCTGAGCTCAAGCAATCCTCCTGCCTCAGCCTCCTAAAGTGCTGGGATTGCAAGTATGAACCACTGCACTGGGCCCTACTGGGGGTTCTTAAGGAGAATGTTTTAATTGCAATGTAAATGCTTAATTTCTTTTTAAACTTCCATATGAACAGGAGCACACATTTTCACTTTTTCCATTGGTACGTTTTTCTCCCCTTAAAACAAGTTCTTTTAAGAGAGAAAATTTTAAGTTACTCTCCCCCATCACCAGCTCTTCCTAAATACCTTCTAATTAACAATAAGGCATTTCTACCTCTGAAAAAATAGTTGAGTAAAAAGGCCATACCCGGGAAAGAAAGGAATGAACTCAGTGTTCCCTTCCTCCCTACCTTCTTCAGTTTGAGGAAAAAAGTGGTGGGAAGATAGGTCAGAGAAGTGGTATATTTCACATTCTTCGAAGAATTCCTTGGTTACTTTTATTTAAGCAATCAACGGACAAAAACACAGCTCATCAGCCTTCATGGGCATCTGACTGCGTAGCCAAGGGGCTCGTTTGGGGATTTTGTGTCTTCCAGCCCCACAACAAAGCTAGAGTCCTTCAGACCAGTTCCGCTTCCTGCGTTCTCCCACTGAAGCCAGGTTAAACACCTTGCGGTTCCTTCCTCAACAGAGGGGCAGAACTACAGCCCCAGCCGGCACCTAACCAGGAGGCCCCCAGAGGATCTCAGCTGCTTCTGCTGATTGGAGAGATGCCCGACAGCTGAAAGGCTGGAGACTTGAGTTCACAGTGCGCCTGCAATAAACAGCAATTGCTTATCCTCATCCTCCCTTCCCTATTTCTCATCTTCACGCCTTTGCCCTTACCTTTCTCCTGGCAGTGGGGTCAGGTTGGGAAAAATCTAACTGGGGAAACTCAAGAGAGGCGTGTAAACGAAACACCCAGCAATTACACCATCTAGGTTCCCAGACAGTACTTCCTGACCCGAAGAAGGACCCAACAATCGACAGCAAATCCCGATCCCACTTGGGTTCCCAGACAGTACTTCGTGACACGAAGAAGGACCCAACAACCGACAGCAAATCCGGATCCCACTTGGGTCCCCAGCTCGAGTCCGCGGTCGAGGCCTCCTCCCCCCCCTCCCCCGAAAGACGTCTCACCTCCCACCGTGGACTTGTAGTGTTTGCTGAAGCTGTCCTGGGAATATCGCTGCACCAGCGACGTCTTGCCCACTGCGGCGTCCCCCACCACCAGAACTTTGAACAGGTGGTCGCGGCTGCCCATGGCTAGCGGGGCGTGCGTTTTAGGGAGGCGGGAAGTGGGGGAGTCGCTTGTTTTAACCCCTTTGGCTCCGGACCCTCTTCAAACTGAAGTGAGGCATTCCCACCCACCGCCTGTGTGGGCTGCTCTGGCAAGAAAGCAAAAAAGGAAACTTTGCACTCAACCTATACGTGCTTCCTCCCCGGGCGGCCGCAACCTGGGTGGGGCGCAGGGCGCAAGCTCCGAGCCCCCGGCTGTTCGCACCTTCCCCACCCCCTCCTGGCCTGACTGCCGAGAAACAGGACCAGGCGCCTCGGAACCTCCCCACCAGGACTTTCCCGGAGCAGCTCCGAGTCAGTGACTGAATCCCAGTCAGCTCATTACACCACTGGGGCCAGATGATGAGGACCCTCCCCTTGCAGCACATACCAAATTGTGAGGAAGGAGCAGCCGGTACCTTTCTATTCCCTAGACACCGTCCCGCGCCTCTCTCTCGCCTTCCTCCGCCAGCGTCACGTGCAGGGTTGCCTGAAGCACTACATTTCCCAGCTTTCCTCGCGGTAAAGAGAACCAGCCGAGTGCGGAGGCTCACTCGCGAAGCCTCCTGGGAAATGTAGTGTATTCTTTTTTTCGTTTTAAGCCAACCTACACAAAGTTTCAAGGCTTCAAAACTCCTTCAACAGTTCGGAATCTTATTTTGAAGCAATTCTGGGTCAGTAAAGATCCCTTAAGAGGAGATTTGTGCAACGTGATCTCACTGGCCTGAATCCATCCCCAGATAGTCTTCTCCTGTCTTTAAAGGTTTAACGGAGTTAAGATTAAAACTTATTTCGTTAGTAAAAGTCCAAGCCTCATCCATAATGCTCCAAGTGAAGTCCATTTCCTATTCCTTCAAATAGATAGACAAGCCCAGGACTTTGTGAAATGACTCATATTTTCTGTATGAGCTTGCCCAATACCAGGCAAGTTCAGGAAAACTTGACTCAAGAGACCATTCTTTGGAAAAAACATATGCCAAAAGTTACAGCATTTAATATCCAGCAATAACAATAAAGATAGACAGAAAACAAGAGACAGTTCCCCATTCATACTTCTGCAATGCCTATTCTAACCATACTACTCATGTATCACTTGAGGTAGAGGCTAATTGAAATACACTGGGAATCCTTCTCGATTCATTGTGGCTGTTGTTAATAGATAATCATAAAACTAGTGTTTGGCAAATAATTTTAATTTCTCAGCCTGAAACTTTACTGACCTGCCTGTCACTTAGGTAGGAGTTAGCAGGACATGAGCTCAATGGCAAGCAAAGAGAGCTCCATTTTCTAGACTTTTTCTAGAATCAGAGGAAGAGCACCAGCAGGGCCATGGGAAAACAGCCCAGGACCAGACACTATGAAATCTTGCCTAGGTCTCCTGATAGAGAGGCTATCACTTATGTTTTGTGGGGAAAGAACATCAGCGTGGTTCACAATATATTTTGCCCAGAATGTTTGTTACTCAGGTAGAGGAGGTTAGGCCAGGCTACTCATCTTTAAGGATCCAATTTTCTCTGTTCCTATTCGTTTTGACATAGTTGACCACTCCTTGACATTTGTTTCCCTCATGCCTTCTATGACACTGCTCTTTCTTTGTCATCCCCCTACTTCTCCGATGATTATCCTTTTCTTTCCGGTTTCTCGCCATCCCATTTCCCTCTAAGTATTTCCTAAAGCTCGATTCTTGGTCTTTGAGTCAATCATTCTATAAACTCTTCAATGAATTGTCCTTGGTGTCAAAGATCTGTCTTCACTTTATTGTTCTTTATCTCTGATCAGTGATACTCAGCTGCCTAAAAGGTGCCTCCACTTGGATGTCCTGCCACATCCTTCCTCTTACTACATTGCCACAAAAATAGCTCCTTTTCTCAGCTTCCCTATTTCTGTCACTGGTCTCATTATTTCTTCCCTTCATGGAGACTTCAGATTCTGAGAATTATTATTTCCTTTACACATGTCCCTTTATACCTATTTATTTATTTGTTTATTTATGTATTGAGATGGAGTCTTACTCTGTTGCCCAGTCTGGAGTGCAGTGGCATTATCTTGGCTCACTGCAACCTCTGCTTCCTGGGCTCAAGTGATTCTTGTGCCTCAGCCTCCTGCGTAGCTGGGACTACAGGTACGTACCACCAAGCCTGGCTAATTTTTGTATTTTTTGTAGAGACAGGGTTTTATCATGTTGGCCAGGCTGGTCTTGAACTCCTGACCTCAAGTGATCTGCCCGCCTCAGCCTCCCAAAGTGCTGGGATTACAGGCGTGAGCCACAGCACCTGGCCTATACCCTTTAAAAAAAAGTCAGTTACCATGTCTGATTGATTGTTTCTTCAGTAAGTGGTTTCTCCCACTCATCCTCTCTGCTTCATATCCAGTAATACTTTCTTTTTTTTTTTCTCTAACTTTTATTTTAGGTTCAAGGGGTACATGTGCAGGTTTGTTACACGAGTAAGCTGCATGTTGCGCGAGTTTGGCATACAGATAATTTTGTCACCCAGGTAATCAACAAATAACACTTTCCTAGTTCAGGCTTTCACCATCTCACACCCGCATTACCGCAGTAACCTGTTCATTGGTTTCCCTGAGTTTATTTTCTTTTTAAGTCACCCTCTACAATTGGACAGGATGGTTTTCCTAAAACACCATTGTTTGTTCTTCCTTATCTACCAACTATCTTTCAACAAAAAGGCCAACCTCCCTGAAGCTGGTGTCCAAAGCTTTCTATGCACCTGCTCCAGCCTACCTAACCAATTTTATCTCACCCGACTTCAAATGGGAGTTTCCTCCCTCCAACAAGGTGAGGTTCCTTATGCTCTTTTAAAGCCCAATGTCATTTTTGCTTTTCTATTTTTGTCCAGGATGCATCACTTTCAGAATACTCTTCAGGTTTCTAAATCTTACTTAAATATCTTCTAATACACCTTTCGGCTGGGCGCTGTGGCTCATGCCTGTAATCCCAGCACTTTGGGAGGCTAAGGCAGGGGGATCACTTGAAGTCAGGAGTTCAAGACCAACCTGGCCAACATGGTGAAACCCCATCTCTACTAAAAATACAATAAAATAGCTAAATCTTACTTAAATATTATTAAGAAAATCAAAAGGAAGAGAAACTATATTATTCACTACGTGGGAGTAGATTGTCATAAAGGTCACTGTAAGTTCTAAAATTTTAGTGTTCATAAGAATCATCTACCTTGGGTACTTGTTAAATACCGACATTTTGATTCTGTAGGGCTAGGGGAGGACCCAGGTGAATCTGCATTTTTAACAAGTACCTATGTGATTGCTAGGCCAGATTCCACTTTGAGAAATGGTACTTTGAGAAATGGTGCTTCAAGGCCTGACTTAAATATCTACTTATTTATAAACATTTCCCTTATTATTACAGCCTTTATTGGTCACCTGTAGCATTTATACAGAGTCTTGCTCTTGTCACCCAGGCTGGAGTGCAATGGTGCAAGTTTGGTTCACCATGACTTCTGCCTCCGGGGTTCAAGTGATTCTCCTGCCTCAGCCTCCCAAGTAACTGGGATTACAGGCATGTGCCACTACACCTGGCTAAGTTTTGTAATTTTAGTAGAGACAGGGTTTTACCATGTTGGCCAGGCTGGTCTCAAACTCCTGATCTTGTGATCCACCCGCCTTGGCCTCCCAGAGTGCTGGGATTACAGGTGTGAGCCACCATGCCTGGCCTGTAGCATTTATATTATATTTGCACTTTGGTCACTTAACTATGTGACCAATTTATAATTATTTAACTTATATAAGCAGCCAGCATGTCTAGTCTAGAAGAAAACAGAAAAAAAGTAAATTTTTCCTTCAAAATTTTGACTTTGCTCCTGATCATCTGTGAAAGGAACTACTCTTAGCTTCCAAAATCAGAAAGGTGAGGAGTTAAGATTTAAGAGGGAAGATTAGCAAATCCCTGAAAGTCACACTTCTCAAAGTAGTAATCATTTCTTTGATGGGGATGAGAGGAGTATTTCTTTTTTTCCCTTTCTTTTCTTCTCTTCTCTTCTCTTCTTATTTTCTTGAGACACAGTCTCGCTGTGCTGCCCAGGCTGGAGTTCAGTGGCGCAATCTCAGCTCACTGCAACCTCCACTTCCTAGGTTTAAGAGATTCTCCTGCCTCAGCCTCCCAAGTAGCTTGGATTACAGGCGGCTGCCACCAGGCCCAGCTAATTTTTTTTTGTATTTTTAGTAGAGATGGGGTTTCACCATGTTGGCCAGGCTGGTCTTGAACTCCTAACTTTAAGTGATCCCCCTGCCTTAGCCTCCCGAAGTGCTGGGATTACAGGCATGAGCCACAGCGCCCAGCCGAAAGGTGTATTTCTTCAACACTAAATTGCAGTTCTGATCGCAGTTTTAAAGGCAGATGGTTATAAATAAGAGAAAGAGAACACGCATTCAAGGTGCCAAACAATTGATTTGCACATATAGTAGGCCCTTGAACCACTCAGGGGTTACGAGCGCCTACCTACGCTCCAGTAAAAAATTCGTATGTCACTTTTCACTCCCCGAGAACTTAACTACTAATAGCCTACTGTTGACTGGGAGTCTTACCAATAACATAAACAGCCGATTAACACGTATTTTATATGTTATATGTATCATATACTGTATTCTTACAATAAAGTAAGTTAGAGAAAAGAAAATATGTTAAGAAAATCATAAGGAAGAGAAAATATATTTACTATTCATTAAGTGGAAGCGGTTCATCATAAAGGTCTTTACCCTTGGCATTTTTATATTGAATAGACCAAGGAGGAGGGGAAGAAAGGGGAGGGTTTGGTCTTACTGTCTCAGGGGTGGCAGAAGAGGAAGAAAAGCCCTGTGTAAGCGGATCTGTGCAGTTCCAACCCATGTTGTTCAAGGGTCAACTGGTATATGTTTGGAACATATAGTTTGGAAGCTGGGGAAAGGGGTCAGCCTTGCTCTGTTACTATCACACTTTCTGTATGTGTCTGCCTCTCTCTTTTGTACTTTTTACTTTCCACTTTTTATTT